TCAGGCTTCCCGCGAACATTTGATTCACGGGAAGCAGGGGAGGGGGAGGAGCAGGGGGCGGAGCGTTCAGGGGAGGGGGCAGAGTTGGGGCGGGGCTGAGGGTGGGGAAGGGGCGGGGTTGGGGCGGGGCTGGGTCCCCATGGAGTGTCCTCCTTTTTAAAAACTAAAAGATGGTAACCCTAACAATTTTCTAACACTGAACAAGGAACTTTATTGAACTATGCAAACAGTATTATCCATCTCTCTCTCTCCCCTTCGGCTTAACTCTGGAGCTTCTACCTAGATCCTTTCCGGGCCCCCTCCTGCCCAGTGTCTCACTTCTGTTTTAAAGGGACAGTGCACGTATCCTCACAATAAGGGACGGGGGCACATACGTAGTCTCTCCTCTCTGGCACCATGGAGCTTAGCCAGGAAAGAGGACTGTGGTGGAGTCTCCAGCTTCACGGAGATCTCCCTTTAAGGGGAATCCTGGAGCCAAGGAAAGTCCATAGGAGTGTGCTGCTCCATCACAGCTGCCAGGAGGGGGCAAGCCTGACCAGCACAAAGCTGGTGTGAAGCTGCAGGGCCTCTGCACAGATAACCCTGGCCTCCTGACAGGGGCGGCTCCAGGCACCAGCGCTCCAAGTGGTCCCGCGGCTTCAGCGGCAATTCGGCGCAGGGTACGCCGAAGGCGCGGGACCGGCAGACCACCCGCAGGCGTGCCGCCGAATCCGCGATACCAGCAGACCTCCCGCAGGCATGCCGCCGAAGGCTGCCTGACTGCCATGCTTGGGGCGGCAAAATACATAGAGCCGCCCCTGCCTCCTGATCCCTCAGGACCTAAAGGGATTGGGGATAGGTCCCAGTGACCAATCTGCAGTGCAGCAAACCCTGCCCCCCAGATGGAATAATCAGCAAGGAGGAACTCTGCAAGGGGATCTCGAGGAGATTTCTTCCTTCTAAGCCCTTCCCCACAGTAGTGCAGAAGGGAGCAATCCAAAGGGAAGGTTCAGCATCCCATGTGCTTAGATATCAGCATTCCTTTCCTTCCTTTTGCAGGGGGTATTGCTATATGTTCTTGTGTGAAACTGAGTCAGTCTGGGGACCTGGCACCATCTGAACTCCTTCACTTTTGCAGCGTGCATTAAATGCTTTGTGTAACCTTTGCTTTGAACGGGAAAAGCAATTAAATAAAGAATTAAAACAAATGCCAAAAACAACTAAACAATTCCTACAGGCAACACAGTGCCTCATCTGGCTGTCGTGGGGCCAAAGACAAAAGCGCCATAAGGTGTACAAAACAGAGCCGTAACACTTCCTGTTTCTACAACAGAGGCTCCCAGAGCACTTGATAAGGCTGGATGAGATCATCATCGGCCTTGATTTTATGCTTGAGATGAAAACTGAGGAAAAAGGGAGGTGAAGTGACATGCCCAAGGCTTCAGACAGAGAACTAATATCAGAGCGAGGAAAGAAACCCAGGAGTCCTGGCTCAGTGTCTGGCTCCTGCTTTCGTCACGAGGCTCGCTGGACCCCAGGGTTCTGTGCTGATGCTCACAAGAGGCACCATCCAGGAGTGAGAGGCTGGAGGTTTAAAATCATCTTTGCTTCTCCCTAATTCCGTAAAGTATCAGGGGGTAGCCCCAGTAGCGTAGCTGGGGGGTGCAGGGGAAGCAGTCACTTCCCCTCAGCACATTTTCCAAAAGCGGCGCCTTAGTTAGGGGCTACTATGGTGTGAGCGGG